ACTTTGGCAACCTGGCCACTGAATTGGAGTGTACTGGTTGTGGGCTGAATTATCTCCCCTCCATCCCAGTGTGTTGAAGTCCTGACCCCAGTATCTCAAAACGTGGCTGTATTTGAAGGGAAAGCCTAGATCCTACAAGAGAGCACAGTGTATGCCATATTTGGATGTTTAATCCAAACTTTCATTATCACAGGACTTTGGGTAACATAAAAACTGATCTAAAAATAAAGAGGATAAAATTAAATCCAAATATATCAATAATCACAATGAATCAAATGAACTGACTTCATTCACATGTTAAAAGACAGTGATTCTCAAACTAGGGGAAAATCTATGTTTTATTTACAGGAGGGGGGATATTTTTAATGCAGAGTAGCATAGAAAGCTGAATGTTAAAGTGCAATATATATATATATATATTTGGTAAAACTGAAATAGTCATATTAGTGTAAGACAGAATAAACTATAAGATAAAATATATAATTATGACTTATGTAGAATCCCGATGTAAGGAAATAGTTAACAAGTAAAGATACTGAGAACTTAACCTTGAATACACATAAATAATAAGAAAATCACAAAAACATTATATATACATATACATATACATGTATATATATACCAAAAATGGAGGCATTGAAGGAGAAATGGGTGTATATAAAACTATAGGAGGAATTTGAATCATGTCTTTTGTGAATATATCTAGATTAAGCAGACAAATATACATCAGAATGCAGAAGATAGGAACAACACCATGGATCCAATAGCCACCTCCAGATCTCTGTTCCAGAAATTAGCAAATACTCACTTTTTTCTCCCAAGTACATGTTGAACATTTGCAAAAGTTAATCCTATATGAGGCTATATAGTAAAACTCAACATATATAGAGTCAATATTATGCATAATACATTCTTTGTCTACAATGTAATAAGCTTGAAAGTCAACAATTAAAAAACCCAAAGAGACCATATATTTGGTAATTTTAAAACTTATTTTATTAGTATTTTTTATTAGTTTTCAGTATATGCAGCTGACAGTCATCTTGGGGAGTGAGTACATGTACATATTATGGGTTCTTTCTAAAATCTTCTTCCCCCTCTCTGATTTTCATTCTTGTTGATATTAATCTTAGCTCATGTTATAGCATATAGTGTTACTTTCATTAAGGTTATTAGGTTCTTGTACATGGCATATCTTTATTCTACTCATTTTCTTTTCCCCTCCCCTTTATCCCTCACCCTTGTTCCCTTGGATCCCTTCCCTATTGCTAGATACAGGAATACTAATGTTTATAGCAGCACAATTTGTAAAGGCTAAATCCTAGAAGCAGCTTGTCAACAGACAATTGGATAAAGAAAATCTAGTATCTCTATATAATGGAGTACTAGTTGGCTATAAAGAATGACAAATTTGAGATGTTTGTAGGAAAATGGATGCACCTGGAAAATAGAATGTTGAACAAAATAAACCAGACACACAAGCTTAAATACCATACGGTATCTCTCACTTGAGTGAGGCAAAGTACAAACAGAGAGAAAAATTAAAGGATGGATAGAAGGGGATAAGAGGATGTTTGGTAATTTTAATAATTTACTCAAACAGTTCATATGTCATTTAAAAAATAACAGTGGTATTTAAAAAACATTTAGAACTAAATTATACAAACATTACCACAAACCTGAGAGATGAACATACCACTTTAAACAAAATCTAGAGCTTTATATTAGTAGATAAAAAAGATTCAAAAGTAATTTAATAATAATCAAAGGCTATGAGTCTATTAAATGAATATCTAATAGCTTGGCTTCTTCTGTCTTTGACCTGTCTGTCTCCAGTGATACCATCCCTGCCATCTTTTCCTTTGTTGCATCTCAGATCTTGCCATGTCCAACATCTATTTATGAAATTTTCCAGGTTTGTTCCTACCTCAGTGCTTTTGCATTTACCCTTTACCTGGGATACTCTTCCTCATTTCATTTACAATTCTTCCTAAATACATCCTCAGAGATGCTTTTCTTGACATCATTATCCAAATATACCTGTCTATATCATTCTCTATCCTGTTGATAGAACTTATATATACCATAATAAAGTCATTAGTAATACATGTTTGTATATGTGTATACATTTATATACATATACATGTATGTTTCTGTCCATTTACTGTTCCCACTGGATCATAAGCTCTATGAGTCCATGGTTATTGTTTGTTTAGTCACACAGGTGGGTTCAATATCCAGAACTGAACCTGGCAACTATCATGTAATAACTACTTAGCAATTTCTTAATGAAAAAGATGGATAGAGTTAATCTAGACCATTCACAAAAATATGAAATATCTGATCTGAAGAAGAAAGAACCCCTGATAAGCTCTGTCCTTAACTGTATTTCTCGTTTGAATGTTCTTTAAAATGTTGTAGATCTTGTAAGTGCTACGTAGTTATAAAATATATTCCTAGGAATTTATAATTTAATAAAACCTTAACTGAACACATAATTTTGATGAGATTTTATCATGAAATTTCATCACAATATTTTTATGTGAGTTGACACATTTTCAACTCTTCTTCCAACCTATATCCCTGAGAAGAAAATAACAGGCAGTAAGAACATAGCTTCTGAGTGGAGATTAATCAATGACAGTACTATTAAAAATAGCAGCATCCTACTTTGTCCCCCCAAAATATGTTTTCTATTATATCAAAACTTTTATTTGATATTCTTTGAGCTTTGAGAAGTTGGATTTTCAGTTTATAGTTTTTGGATGGCACCTCTTAAAATTTATAATCATAGTGGTGAAAAATATTTCATAGCCTATCAGTACTATGTATTGCAAAAGCTAGACAGGGAAAAATACCATTATTCTAGCGTCAAAGTCCTCTTTACTTCAGTTATTTGAATTTCTCTCCTATTGTGAAAGAGACATCTAAACAATAAAAATGTTAACTGTCTGCCTGGAAAGTGACAGTTGGCAATGTTTAATCATCCCTGTGGCCATCTTGCTTTTCAGTGGTGGCCCAAGGCCTAACACTCTCACTGGGGCTAAGTGCCTCTGACCCGGGGACAGAGTGGCTTGGTCTCTCCCCCACAGTCTGGGGACGTTAGATGTCAGGGATCAGCACAAGCTTGCACAAGGCCTGAAGAATTGCTCCTAGGGGCATTTCTCCTTTGCTTCCCCTTCTTCTCCCTCTCATGTTGGAACTTCCCCTTTGTTCTTTGGATAGCTCATCTAAAAATCCTACAATATCAGAAGAGTTCATTTTTCTCTGCTTATATGTTTAAAGCTTGCCAATATTGAACCTTGATGAGAATAATAGCAATTTGCATTTCTCAAATTGAGGATTCCCAGTAAGAGTTTCCAAAGATTGTACAAATGCTTCCCCTTGCAAGAGAAATCAGAATAGATGAGTTGTGCTGAAGGAACAAGCAACTTTTGTGATCTTGATGGCTGTGAGGAAGAAAAGTTTACTTTTCTTTCACTTTTCTTGTCTGTCTTGGGTTTTTGGGGGGGCTCTATCCTACATCACTCTGCACTCAGATCTGATGCTGCACTTGGTATATAGAATAATACAGGCCACTGTGGCAGAGGCAAAGAGAAGAGGTCAGCCACACACTGCCTTAGAGATTTGCATGTCTTTATGGTTCCAATACCATTAACCAAATCAAGTTGCCTGGGTACATGCACTTAAAGGAAGAGGGGTGGGCAAATGTCAGTTCAGTGTTATTCCACCATTCTCAGATGCCGACAGCATTGAATACATGGCATCTCAATTGTTTGGTAGGCATTTTCTATATCACTACAGTGGGAGTTCTTGAATCCTTGCCTCATTTATTAAGAACAGCCGTGGTTGTTCAGTGTGATCTGTAATAGTAGAGGCAAGGTAGGTGAATTTTGTGGTGTGTGTGGTTACTTTCCTTGGTTGGCCAGTGGTACACAACTTTGGCTCTTCGTTACATCTCCATGGAAAATTCTTCAAGTACTTTTCCCCAAAGTTTAGCATTGCTCTCTATCTTAAACTTTATCTGTTAGATGTGTTCCACTGGGAGAAAAGAAGGAGTTTGGCAATAATTGTCTGGTCTCACTAGTGAGAAAGGGATATTAAACCCCCTATTAATATAGATTCTGATAACTAGTTGAGGGCTTTCTGTTTTATGACAGAAAAAGGAGATCCATGTCTTGGGCCATATCATCCCTCTGGGCCAGATATGGCATATAAGATTTCATCTTATCTGATGATACTGACTGACTGGCTGGGGCTTCCTAGAGTGCCAAGTAGGGTAGATACTGAGGCTGCATCTGAACTCCACATCCACAGTGCGCAATGACTGATTAACACTTTCTGCTCTTGGTCCTGAGGGGTAATGGTGGAACAAAGCTGCTTATCTTTCTTCTTCCAGTTCATCCCACCACTCTCTTTTTGAGGATTATGTTCTGATCTAAAAAATCAGATCATGACTTTGTTTCCATAGATCCCTTGTTATTTATGTAGGTGTGATGTGAATGATAGGCATCCAGTTTTTAATCACTAGATTAGAAGTTTCCTTTAGAGTAACTTAAAAACAAAACAAAACAGAGCCAGGAAGAGTGGTGCATGCCTGTAATGCCAGATCCTCAGGAGGCTGAAGCAAGAGGCTTATGAGTTCGTGACCAGCCTAGGCAATTTAGCAAGACCCTGTCCTGAATTAAGCAAGGGGTGAAGATATAGCTCAGTGGTAGAGTGCTTGCCTAACCTATGTGAGGCCCTGGGTTCCATCTCAGTACTACAAAAATGAATGAGTGAGTGAATGAAATAAAGCTTGGCATTATAATTTGTATCAACTGTTTGGTTGGGAGCTTGATTAAATCAAGTCAGGCCCAGAGACCATGACCAAGTAACTGATAGAGTGAATTTCTCAGTGTGGAATCTACACTGAGTGTCATCTCCAGAGGACACACTCCGTTGGAAAACTCTCTGATGTCAACCTTTCTGACATCAGTATGTCCTTTGTGACCTCAATAGTATCAATGGGATCACATCAGAGGGAGAAAGAAGCCATGTGAAATAACTCATTATGACCAGAATGGAAGAAGAAAACACAAGAAGTTGTTCAAGGGAAAAATATTAGCTGACAGGAAGGAGAAGTGATACTCTGAAAATCTATCAAGTTTTGACTATGTTTAAGGTTAGTTTTTTAAAAAATGAAAGGCTAGAGTGTTCCAAAGCCTCATGGGTCTTGTTTTAGCTTCAGTATGTGATTTAGGGACTGAAAAAATGTACACTTTCTTGGCTGCGGAAGAGACAATTGGTATGAGACTCTTCTCTCTACCATTAAAGCCGAATGAAGCTTGTCTCTCCAGCTCACTGTGATGGCTCACCATTGGGAATAAGGACGAGACAGGTGCTGTGGCTACTGGCACCCTTGTAAGACCATGAGAGATGGGCTGCCTGTCCAGAGAAATTGGAACATTTCAATCTGTGTGGTTTCATGACTAGCCGAAAAATATTTCATTTCTAGTCATTCCTCATGGTTAGAAAAAATTTCTATAATCTCATAAATCTTCGAATGCAGAGTACATACACCAGTAACTTGGACATAAATATATTTCTAGCCTGTAATGATATTATCGAGTGGGACTGAGGCTCTGGCCAGATGCTGATGTATATTAGTTAGGGAGGCTGTTCCTAAATCCTTGGACTTAACCCATTTTCCTCCCAAATGCTGCACAGAATAATTTAACAGTAGATAATTCCATTGGCAATTTTAGTTCACATTTTAATATAACATAGGTAATTTAAAAAGTCTTATAATATGGTCTATGCAGATTTAGAATTGTAGAATGTTAGAGATCAATGATTTTATCATATATGTTCTCAACAGGGGTAATATGCTTCCCTAGGGGGTAGATACTTACCTTTAATGTTTATGTGATGATTTTATGTTTATATTTGGATATGTTTGTCTCATTTTATTCCTTGAGTTCTGTTTATTCCTTCTGCTTTTCTTTTTGCTTTTTTCTATCTTCTGGTTTGATTTTGAAGTATTTTATTTTATCATTTGAGATTATTACTTATGTCACTTAGAATATATGTACAATACATGTATTTTACCTCCTTCTTTTGTGTTTTATTGTATACATTGCACCAATATACATCGAAAGTCCCAACAGTCAATGTTTTGACTTTTGATTTAAACCATCACATATGTTTAGTGAAATGAACAGGAGAAGCAAACCATATTTCCCCAGACATTTACCATCTCTGTGCTCTTCCTTCATTCCTGAAGTCCCTGGCTTTCCCTGGGGACCATTTCCCTTACAGCAGGTCTGGTGGCAATGAATCTTCTTCAGTTTCCCTTCACCTCACAATGCTTTTATTTCACCTTCATTCCTAAGGGACATTTTTGCTGGATTTAGAATTATCTGTTGATTTTTCTGTTATTTTTCTTATGGAAATTAATTTTTTTTTCCCTTGTTTCTGGTGGTGTCCATGGTTTCTGAGGACAAAGGCATAGTAATTGTTCTTCCCCTGTGTGTTATGAGTCTTTTGTCCTTTGGCTGCTTTTAAGGGTTTTCCTTTATTTTTAGTTTTCGGGTAATGTCTGGGCTTGACTTTCTTTGACTTTATCATGTTTCATGTTTGCTGAGGACAGAGGAAAAAAAAAAACCCAATAATGGCTATTTACCTCATTATGTTAGAACTGTGCTTTTTGGTTTGGAGAATTCCCTCACCTTGGTTTTAGGCAACTCCCTAGACTCTATTTGTACAATGCAGCAGAACTGCCTAGCGGCTGGGACAGAAAAAGAAAAGCGAAAGACAGACTTCCGTCACTGTCTGGATCTTTTGAACTCCTTTCCTGATCTTTGGCTCAGAAATCCAGTTCTTTTCCCAAAGCCCTTTCTGGTGGCGGTAATGTACACTTTTGGGCTTCAGGCTGGATACCTGCACAAGTTGAGTGATACCAGAGAAGAAGAAATGGTTCTACTTTCCCCAATTGGCTGTCACCATTTATTTTTCAGTCCTAAGAAAACTGCTCCATGCATTCCATCCAGGTTCAATTGAAGCCAGAAGGTCAAGAGGGCCTACTTCACCTTGCCCAAAACTGATCCTACTGAGTTTTGCATGTCTTTTCTTTTCTTTTTTTTTTTTTTTGTCTGTGACTGCTTGTGCCATCAATTACTTAAATTCCTGAAATTTTGATGCTTCAGATCCCTGGAGTCTTAGAAACATCTTCCTTCTTGCTGTTCTGGATACCTAGGAGTTGCAGAACAAATTTTAAGGAAGACAGAATCAAGATTTATTGGATTAGTCTTTATGGAACAAAGTACTGTGTGCACATCATCATATTTTATTTTTATAATAGTCTTTTGAATGTGTGTGCATTATTTTCCCATTTTAGAGAAGAAAGTTTAGGTCATCGAAGCCACGTAGCCAAATAAAGGACACATTCAAACTTGGGTTTATTGGTCCAATTCTAAAGCCTGGGTTTTTTTTTAATCATATTGTGCTGATGATAGACTAATTTTATGTTTTCAAAATATGGGTATTATTGGAAAGTGCCTGTTATATATTTTTTAACCCACTGATATTTGAAAAGGCAAGGAACATTCTTCATTATGTTCATCCTCACTTCTTGGTCTGGGAACACTCAAAAACCAACCAACCAGCCTTTGATTTGCTTTTGTGAGTTCACTAATAATCACCTAATCTTCTACTTGCTTGAGAGGTTCAGATTTTCAGAACTTAGCAAGAAATAAGCCAGCGACATTTAACTTAGAGTGTTTAGCTTGGACAGAATATTCATCCCATAAATACTAATTTGCGAGATGTCACCAGAGGCTGCACAAATAAGTGGATTGACCTTCGGTAAGTACCCTGCTGAGGAGCCGAGGGGGCCCCCTGCTGTCGGGAAATCCCTGAAGTCATGGATGTGACACAGTGAGAGAAGCAGATCCACCATCCTCAGGGCCTGATGAGATTGTCCTGGTGGCAGTCACATGTGTTCTTTGGCAAACAGCCATTTCCGCAGCCCTGGACCAACAACAGTTCCACGGGGCAAACCCTGCCTCAGAGCGACTCTGCATACCTTCGGCTGAGTCCCCAGAGTTAGCGATGTGGAGCTCCGTGAAGATCGAAAGGAAGATAGTAAGTGAGGTTAGCAGGTCAGACTGCCATTTTTAGCTTTCAAAAAGTTAAACAGAGAATATTGAACCCAAGGAGAGGTAGGTACCCCGGGGATCTGCAGACTGCCTGAGATTTGCAGGATTGTTTGTCCCTGAGTTTTCCAGGGGAGAGACACTACTTTATGCTGGACAAGTACCCAGTGAAAGTACGAATCCCTCTGTCTGTGATGGAAGCCCATGCAGGTCTACAGTCAGGGTCTGTCCCAATCAGGGAATGAATCATTAATAACAACAGATCAAGGGTGAGGTGGCCAGAGACGAGCCCCAGTGAGGGGATGGTGATGTCGCCTGTGTGAGGCACTGTTATAACCCGATCTTTTTGGCTGTGCTCCGACCATGCTATGATTCAGAGGATTTGATTTTGACAATGATGGCCTGAAGGCCAAAGACAATGTGAATCCAAAGTGCCTGGTCTTTAGGGAAGTTGGATGAAGGATGTATGGAAACTGCACTATTTTTGCAAATCTTTCATAATTTTAAAATTATATATATGTATGCATATATGTATTTGTGCATGTATATAAATTTCCTTTGGGATAAGACAATAAAAGAAAATTTCTTAGGGTTAAATGGATGCAGTCGACCTTGAGAATTTTGCCATCAAGGACATAAGGGAAGTGTAATTCAGTATTAAAGAGCATGGACTCAGAGGTTAAGAATTCCTAGGTGTGAGTCCTAGACCTAGTACCTACCTGCTGTGTGACCTTTGTCACTTTGCACACTCCCATTCTACCATTGAGAACTTTGAGACTGAGAGAGTTTCATAACTGATCTCTACCTCATGTGGTGATGACAGCAGTAAAATGAATGAGACAACTCGAGTAAAAATGCCTGGTACCTAGAAAATACATAGTGAGTGTTAGCTATTAATATTATGATGACAGTAATTATTGAGGTGGAGACGTGAGGTTTTAGAAATCACGAGTGGGCTGATACCAGCAGGCAGATTCTAAGTCCTGATGGCTAATGCCCTTCCTCAGTATCAGTGAGGTGACACTGAGGGACACGCAGAAGGTCATCAGGGTGCAGAAAAGCAAGCCGAGCTGACAGAGGGCTGCTGGGAAATTTCTGAACCTGGGAGGCACAAAGTAGAAGGTCAGGTTGATCAGTCAGGAGCCTCCTGGATGCTCTCTATTATTAATAACTAATATAATAAACCTGGTCATCATTCATTGGCATCACCCCTTCAGAAATCAGGTGGAGGTCTTTTTTCTCAGATTTTCAATTCCTGGTCACTTCTGAGCATGGCTGTTTCTTCCCAGGCCTTCTCTGGGGCTTTGAGATCCTGTGGAAAATGGGATCTGAGTTGGTCTCTTCATGAGTCGTGAGTGCTCTGGCTCTGAGCAGATCCCCCCACCTCGATTTCACCCCAGGGTGGAGGCCAGTGGCCTCTGGGTGCTCTTCATTGACTCTCTAGTTGAAATCCATTACCCAAGTGTGACAGTCAGAAACAAGTCCAAATATTATGAGAACGATGCAGTCACGGCCTGCAATCGCTTTCCTTCATTCTGACTCAACACAGGGCATGTTCTTTCCCTCTTGAACTCAACCATGATGTAAACATGATATGTTATCATTTTAATGTCTGTGGCCTTACTCAAGAATTCGGCGATGAAAAACCTAGACACATGAAAAATGGCCCATGGTAAAAGCCTGTATTAAGAACACATTCGGAAAGAGATTAAACTAATTGCATCCAAGGGAACGTGGGTTACAAGAGACTTGACTGGTGTTCTTGCTTAGAGTTATGGTCTCCGAATGCTTTTCTGTGTTTGCTGTGAAATGATGTTACAAAGGAGTCTGTCTGAATAATGAATGTGGTGATAACTGAAAGGGAAAACAATACAAAGCTGGAAAACTGTGGTCAAGCAGTGCTGGTGCTGTGCTAGGGGATGTGCATGTGGTCAGGTAGTTTGATTGATTATTTTCACTGATACTAACATTTCAGACATTATAGTCCACAGACGTGCTCACTGAGGTAGTTAATGTTAGTCTTTTCTTTTTCTGCCTTTCTTTCTTCTCTTTCTTTTTTCTTTCCTCCCTCCCTCCTTCCCTTCCTCCATTCCTTTCCCTTCCCTTTTCTTTCCTTTTTTTGAACAATGTAGAAGGGGGATAAAATAGGGCTTCCCTAGAAATCAGGAAAAGAATAGCTTAGAAAAATAATTTTGACTATAAAGAAAACACTAGTTTTGAATATCCAGGTTCCAGAAATTTCAGGTCATGAGAGGACAAAATAATTTGCTGGAAAAGTAATCTTTCTGATTATTGTTATTTTTCAAAATAAACACTTTTAATTTTTCTTATTAGAAAAGTCATAGTCACTTAGAAAATATAGAAAACATAGAAAAGACAGAAAAATTAAAAGCATCCACCACAAATACATCAAGATACTGTTTTTTGTATTTATTTCAAGTCAAAGAAAAATATTTTTGTGTAATTATTGTTATCATGAATGTTCAAGAATGTACCCTAGGGTCAACTCACTTTCTGGGTGTCCTCTCCTATCCATCTCAGGCAGGAACTAACTCTCCCTCAATAAATTTTTCCTACTCTTACAAAAAAAAAAAAAAGAATGTCCTGTTTTGTGCTTATGGTGGATATTTTTCTCACTACACTGGAACATTGTTGAAATACTATTTTAAGAAAATAGGTGGGCTAGGTTGGTTTGTGCACACCTATCAACCTCGAACTCTGGGAGGCTGAGGCAGGAGAATTACAAGTTCAGGCCCAACCTGGGCAATTTAGCAGCTCAGTGAGAGCTTGTCCTAAAATAAGAAATACAGAAGGGCTGGGGATGTAGCTTGGGTCAAAGACTCTGGATTCCAACCTGAGGACCAAAAGAAAGAAGAAAAACACCCCAATAGTTAGAAATCATTTACAAGAGGGTGGCTCCTATGAGTCAAAAAAAAAAAAAAAAAAAGCCAGAGTGACCAGCGCCACACTCATCACCTGTCAGCCAATCATCTTGCTTGGGATCCCACTCCTGATACATGACAAGGATTTAGGGGGTGAGGCTTCTAATCCAGGGCTGATTTCTAATCTTGTTTCCACTGGACATTGAATGACAGCATTTCCCCTCTCTGAATCTGGTTTTAAAAAATCTTTCATCTGATGCTTGTTGAGGTGCTTTCAGTTCTAGGATGCCATGTCTCTAGAGTTATTACCTTAGTGCTGCAGAACACAGGTTCATGTATTATTTTTATTCGTAGTAGTTTGAAAATTTTCATTCTTTCAACACCTTTTAAGTTGTTGCTTTATTCCAGACACTGACATGTTTTTTCGTATAATCATTCCAGTCACCCTGTGAAACAGATGTTGCTGTCATCCTCATGCTATTGACAAGCGAAGCTCAGAGAGGTAAGGAGAAGGTGGGGGAGCTGGGCTTAGGTTCTCCCCCAGCCTGACTCTCCTGAAACCAGGCTGTGTGGTTGTCTTCTGCAGTGGACGCCCACAGGTCACTCATAGCCAATCAGTCCCTTGCTTACTCCTTCAGTGGCGAGTGGGTGTGGTAGACAGAAGAGGCCCACATCTTAGTGCTCCATAGATGTGTTACATGGCAAAGAGAAATTGAGGCTACAGATGGAACCAGGGACCTAACCAGCCACTCTTAATACAGAGAGATCATCCAGGTGGTCCAGGATAAACCCAAGGCCTTTAGAAGTGGAGGGAGGAAGACAAGAGTCTGTGTTAGAGAGATGCAACAGAGAAAGACCACCAGCTATTGCAGGCTGTGTAGATGAAGGAGGTCAAGGGCCAAGGGATGGGGGTAGCCTCTGGAAGCTGGCGGAGGTCAGGAAACGTTCTTCCTTAGAGCCTCTAAAAGGAAACAGAAACTGCCAGTAACATTGGTTTTTCACCTTGAGTCATTCAGCAGACTTCTGACCTTCAGATCTGTGAAGTAATGGATTCGTAGTGCTGGAAGGCACTGTTGGGATTTCTTGTAGCAACTCGAAGAAACTCACTAACAGTGTGTCCTCCGAGAAAAAGAAGCCTACAGTGGTCCAGGGTGGATGCTCAGGGGCTTGGTCTTCTCAGAGACCTGGCAGCAAGGGGGACACTGCTAGGAAGCAGGTTCATAGCAGCTTTGAGGTCCATGCTTGGAACAGGAGACCCAGCCTGTTGTCAGAGCCTGGTAGGGACCAGACTCTAGAAAGTGACTGGACAAGGTCTCTAAGAGGAAGTCAGGGGGGTTTGAAGGAGTTTAGAACAGTGAGATCCCATGGAAACATAATTAGTCAGTGCTCCATGGTCTTCAGTCTTTGAGGGATATATTTTATACTTTTTCTGTATCCTCCAAAGGTCAGACTTAAAAAATGGAAATATCGCACGTTATTGATGATTGATGATGGGTGGGTTATTCATTTAACTTTCAAGCACACATTTATTTGACCATAACTTCTTCATTGACATGTTAGCATGTATCACAGATAAAATCCACAGTATATCACATTCAGAGGAATTGTTCAACTAATCAGTAGTCCTGGTGTTTTGTTGGTCATGTAAAGAATTTTAGAAGAATCTTGTCAAGTGGGAATTGTGCTGGTCTGTTGGCTCATAGATAATAACAATACAATTGAAGTACATATTGTTTATTTCAAGATGATGGAAACAGAGAATAATTCTCAACAAGAAAACATCACCCAAAGGCAAGAAGCCAAAAGAATAGTGGTTAATATACTAATATAATAAATCTAAGCCTAAATCCCTTCGATTACAGTTAAACAAAGAAGGCAATAACAATTCTATTTCGTAAGACTATCCCTTGAAATTACACATGAAAATATTTTTCCTAGGCAGTGTTTGGGTTTCCATGCTCTGTAATCTATTTTTGAAACAATTTAATATCTGCTAAAGTCTGCCTCATCTGTATGATCTGGATTTCATACTCAGAAGAGAACATGTGGCAGCAAACAAGAAAACACTGCCACTGTTGTTAAGGATTCTTCTATTTATTGACTGTATTTATAACTTTCTATTCTCCCCAAAGGAACAAAAATCCAATAAAATAAAACTAAGAAATTAGGTCAAAGAAAGGAAGAAATCCGTAAGATGACTTTGTGGGTTAATTTATTCACTGTGACTGAGCTTCCTGTTGGGCTTTGAGTTTCTTAGCAGCAAGAGCAAAAATAAAATAAAACAATAACTAATAAATAAATAATCTTTTCAATAGCAGAGAGTTAGGGTAAAAATAATTTTATAAAGGGTTTTCCTCCCATAACTACACATTTAAAAAATTTTAAATCATAATAATATCTTATCACAACCAATTACAAAAATGGGAACATATTACTATGTTCTAAGGTAGACGTTTTGAAACTAGCATGCACTGGAATCTCCTCAAGGGCCTAGTAAGACAGATTTTGGGGTTTTATCCCCAGAGATTCTGAGTCACTGTGACCTGGGCATTTGTATTTCTAAGAAATTCATAGGTGGCACTGATACTATTAATCTGGGGTGTGACCACTTTTTGAGAACCACTTGTCCAAAGGCAAATTATGAAGTGATACTTTAGAGGAAGTACTAAGTATCCCATAGGAAAATATCTTTACAAAAAGTGGTCTTCAGTGGCAATGTCTTGCATAACTCTGGTACAGCATCAAAGCCAAGTAATCAACATTGGTATAATCCACAGAGATCATTCAGATTGCACCGTATGTGTGGATGCATTTGTGTGGAGGTTTATAGTTATATCGCATGTATATTTGTGTAATCATCACAATCAAGAAAAAGAACTATCCAGCACCATGAAGATCTCCTAGGGCTGCCCAGTATAGTCATACTGCCCTGTGCCACTCCACCCTGGAACACTGGCACCCCCGGATCTAGTCTGGTCTCATCTCCATAATCTTGTCATTCCAAGAATGTATTATACAGTGGACCCTTAACTTATGAACTCAAGTCGTTCCTGAGGGCTGGTAGTAACTCAAGTTGTTCAATGGAAGGCTCAGGCTCCTTTACACAGCCTTCAAAGTCTCTCTCCTGTACACAGGCAGATCTCAGCATCCTTAGAGAGACACTGGCCCAGGATTTCTCAGTTAATCCCACACAGGCAAGGATGTTGTAATGTTGCTTCCAGACCTCTTTAAGGGTTAAATCTGTATCTGAGACCATCTGGAAGTACAAGTAGCCAGCATTCAGATCATAACTCAAGACTTTGGTTGTAAGTTTAATCTAAAATTATGGTCATAACCCCAATTCTTCATATGTCAGGCTGGTCATAGCTTAAGGGTCCAGTGTAAATGAAATCTGACAGTATGAAAGATTTTGAGATCAGCTTTTTTTCACTCAACATAATTCCCTTGAGACCCATCCTGTTGCTGAGCACATTAGCATTTGCTGCTTTTTATCATGCGTTGTAAATATTTTGTTTAATCAATCACCTACTGAAGGACATTTGGAGAAATGGACCCCACAACACAGACTTATCTGCCCTAACATATCAGAATACACTGAAGACAAGGTAGTAATAGAGGGAAACAGGTGGGGAATTCTCACTTTTCTTATTGTTGGAACAAATGCCTGACACCCGCAATTTAAAGGAAGAGAGGTTTATTTTAGCTCACTGTTACAGTCCATGGCTGGTTTGCTTGAAGGTAGAAATGGCAAGGTAGAAGGGCCTGGATGGAAGATGATTGCTCACATCATGGCCGCCAGGAAGCAGAGAGCAAAAGAAGGAGCCCAGGAGAGAGATGTGCCTCTCCAGGTCACACGCTCAGTGACTCACCTAACAACCAAGCCCCACCTCCTAACAACACTATCTGCACTTTCAGTATAGTGCCTCCAAGATCCAATCACTTACCAATAGATAAGGTGTTCGGTGCTATTTTAGATCTAAACTATAACATTCTTCCCTTGGTCCCCCAAAGCTTATCTCTATGCATCTCTTTATGTAAAATGCATTTAGTCCATCTTTAAGAGTCACTGAGGTTTAAACAGTTCCAGCATTGCTAAAAAGTCCAAGTACAAAGTCTCCTCTGATACTTAAGGCAAACTCTTAGCTGTGAGCCCCTGTAAAAATCCAAAAGAAGTTAAATACTGCTGACATATAATGGCACAAGGTCAGCATTCCCATTTCAAAAGGGAGAAATAGGGGAGAAAAAGTAATAGGACCAAAGTCAGATCAAATCCACTAAGGAAAATATTAAATTTTGCATTTCCTTGTCCAGGCCCTGGGGCAGGTTGTGGTGATATATGAGCTTCAAAGGGCTTGGGCAGCCTGCACCCATGGCACTGCCAGCTACAGCACTCATGGCTTCTCTCATGGCTTTGCTTACTGCCTGCAGGTTTACTCAGCAGAAATTCCATGTTCCTGGCTTCTCCATTTTTCTGGGATCTCCACTGCATTTTCAGCATCATGCACTGAAAGGGCACTCTGTCTTGCTTCCTAGGCCTTCTTGTGGAATCTTGGTGGGAGCCTCCCTGAACTTACAACTCTTGATTCTGAATGTCTAAAAATCCAGCACCACATGGATAATACTAAGGTTTTCCTCTAGCTTGAGCAATAGCTGGGTCCCCTTGGATTATGGCTGCAAAGGCCTCTAAATTCTTGGATGGTTGAGCACTGTGAAATGAATCCCAGGAAACCAATTTCCTAGATGGCCCTTCTTGAGCAGGGTGCCCTGGGCTCTCTTCTTAAAGTAAAGTATTTCAAATGAGTTTACCATTACTTTTTTACAACCTTGAGCCAATGATGTGTAGGGTCTTGCTAATTCCTGGGATGCCTTCAAGATATCTTTACTATCGTTCTGATACAAAGTCCTTGGCTTCTTTTTAATTGTAATCCTTTCAGCAACCAAGATCTCCTTTATTCCAACTTTGTAGGCATTTCTTTTCTGGCAAAAAGTGAAAACTTCTTAAATGGGATTTTTGCTTTTAATTTTCAGTATAAACCTGGCTAAAAGCCACCAGCAATATTCATATCACAGACTGAATGTTGGACTGTTTTGAAATTTCCTCCACCAGATTAATTAATCTGCCACCCTTAATCTCAATTTCTAGCAGTCTCAAGATAAGATCAAAATGTGGACAAATTTTCTTTCAGAGCATAACACACAAGGTCTTGAGTCCAGCTGTCAATGCAGTCCTTGTTCCCAGGGGAAACTTTTTCTTCTTTTTTTTTTTCTGGTGGAAACCTCTTGAGCCTGGTTTTTTACTGTCTGTATTTCTGTGAACATTCTGGTCTGCTGAGCTCTGACCACAAGTCTACCATCAAACGAGGCTTCTGACATTCTAGAAGTCAGAAGTTTCTCTAGTCAGCATCTCCAAACCTTTCCAAACTCTTTTTGTGAATCAGTCCCAAGGGGTTTTAAACCATCTGGTCAGATAATCACAGCAAGGGCCCCATTCTGGGAACCAAAATATCTAAGACTACAGGTGTATGGGGAACTGTCAGCTCCACGCTGGGGAGGAAGCAGCCAATCTGCTCTCTTCCTTTGGACTAGTCCATCTTAAAGTGATGAAGCCTGCTTTTCTGTAGGCCCTGCTAGGAGCTCAGAGTTCCTGGTTCAACCTTTTATTGAAGGCAGGCGTTGGACCAACTTGAAGGAAGCAGAAGTTCACTTCAGTGCCTTACACTAATTGACAAAGACCTGCGTTTATGAATATGTGTAAACTATCAAGTCTAGCAGACATGAGAGAGACATCAGCTATTGAGGTTGACCAAGATGAAGAAATAGAATACTTGACTCTGGAAAACAGAAGTAAATTGAGAGTTAACAAAGAACTTCAACAAAGCCTAGTTATATTAGTGATTGGGACCATAAAAAACAAAAACAGCAAAAAGATATAGGCTGCTATAAAGAAGACATCAGAGAAACAAAAACAAAGTTCTTTTAAATCAATGATTTTCAACTGGAGGGAATTTTGCCTTCATTGGGTATTTGGTAATCCTACCACATACAGGACAGTCCCACAACACAAATTTATCCGCCCTAAAGTATCAGTAGTGCCAGCCTTGAGAAATGTTGTCTAAATTAAAACTATTACTGCCATAATGAAAGAAATGTTCTTTAAATTTTGGAGGAAACATTTAAAATAATCTTTTGGAGTATAAAGTAAAATATGAAGAGAAAACATAGGAGAGTAATTCAAAGACACAGAAGATCAACATAGAAGGAATACCCCAAAGAGAAAACAGAGATGGTGGAAGTGGGGAAATAATCAAAGAAATAATTTTCCAGTGATAAATAAAGGCATGAGACATGGAGTAGAATGAAAGAATAATGACCCATAATTATAAACAACTCAGAGCACCAAAGAGAAGGAAACTTTTCAAACATTAGAAGCTGCTGGCTGAGAGGTGTATGGAAGCTCAACACTTCTTGCAATTTTTAAGTCTGTAATTAGTTCAAAATAAAATATTCTAAACGGTTTCCAGCTTGGTTTCCAAGTTTGTCTGTATTATAATTAATTCCATGCAGAACATCCTTGTACGTCTTGATAGCAGACACTGTGGTTAGGGGCCATGTAGCTTTTATTAATCTGTTTTAGGAAAACGGAGGCACCTTGATACCATAATGTTAAGTAAAATGAATCAGACAAACTTAAATATTGCACCACTCTTCTTCTATGAGAAACCCAAAATATCAAGAAAGAGCAAAATAAAAAATAGATAATAAGAAATAGGGAGACCGATCTTTTGCAGTTGGGAAGGATGCCAAGAGATGGAGGGAGTGGAAAGGGAGGGGAGGGAAAAGGATAAAAAAGAATTGAGATGTGTTACGTACATGTACCAGCTCCCTGTGAGGAATGTGTTCATTATGTCAAGCAAACACATAGCAATAAAAAAAATAATTAAAAAAAGAATTGATGCTCACACCCCATTCCTTCATTCATGTCCCCTCCAGTGTGGTTTCAGAGGGCACATTTTACCGATGAAGAAGCTGAGTTCCACAAAATACAAGTCACCAATCCAAAACTGTGGAGTGAGGAAGCCTGATTCCAAGGCCCACTGGAGTTTTGTCTGAATCATATCTCTTCACTTTAATGGCTAGTGTTCGAATTCATAAAATCTGTCATGGACACTTCTCCTGTGCTCTCAGTACTCTGAACGCCCTTGTGTTTTTTCTCAACATTACAACTCTTAATGTATATAGCAATCTTGTTCAGGACAGTTTCTCATCTTTACATAGCACAACTTCATAAAATAAATAGCATAGTGCCTTCTACTCAATAAGAATTAAATTAGCCTTAATTCATTAACTGGGCATATATTTGATTAGTGCCTATTGTGCACCCAGTACTATTTAAGGGGATATGACAGTGAATAAGATAGACAAAGTCCTTGACTTTGTGGAGTGTACATTTTGCAGAGAGGCAGACAATAGACAAATAGACATATACTATTTGGCAGCTATACAAAGAAAATTAAACCCAGGTGGAGTATGATTTGCTTGCTATTTTAGTTAGGACAGGTAGGAAAGGCATCTACAAATGTCATTTTCAGGGAGAAAAAAATCTATGGTCATCTTATCACCTTTGGGCCTTCTTATCACTGAAGGTTCAGAAATACATAATCATTTTTCAATACTTTAATCCCTTTTAGTGCTCCCTTTGGGAAAGGTAATTGAACTCCAAGAATTCCAAGACCTTTTTCAGGCCTAGAAAGCTAGGACAAGAGATATTCTGCAGAGCAGCAGAACTTCTTATCAGGAATGTTTTGAAGCTCAGAAAGTGCACAGATTTTCAGATAGACAATTACAGCGCTGGTGAAGGAGCCTCCCAAGCCCTTGTTCCCTCAGCTCCCCGTGGGGCGATGTGTTTGCATGCACATGCGTGTGCATGGTTCTGTTTAGCGTGTGCTTGTAGTGATTCCTGTCACTTCCAGCTCATTTTTCAGCCCACAGTGTTGGCTGATGAGGTCATGGGAAAAGGGGCAGTGGAAAGAACAGGGGTAAAGGACACTGGGGGAAGGTGCCCGGGCTTTCCATGGCTTTTGTTGTTTTGTTTTCAGTGTTTTCAATATGAGATGCTGGATTCTTGTGTCTTGCCTCTTTCTTCCCTTTTCTTATCCTATGGCATTTCCCCCGCCTCATGTGGACGTTGTTACTCAAACTTAGGCAAATTACTTCCTACTCATGGGTTTCTTCTGCAGAGACCCTCCCTTCTGGAATGAATTTTTTTTTTGTTGTTTTGTTTTTTTTGGTACAGGGGATCAAACTCGGGTCTTTGCGCTTGCGCAGCAGGCGGCGAAACCACTGAGCTAAATCCTCGGCCCCTGGAATGAATTTCTTAGAGCTCAGTGCCTAGATAGTTTCTTCTATCCTTATGCCAAGGGATTCCACCCTTCTGAGTCATCCAGACTTCAGGTACAGAACCCCAAGCCGTACCCCCTCTCTCTGACATACACATGAACATACCCACTCCTATTTGGCTTCCTGAAGTTCTGATGCTTGAGGGTACCCAGTGTTCACCCTTCTGCATACACTCATAGTCATCACCTCCTCAGTCCCAGCCTCTTGGCCCAACAAAGAAATCAAATGTGATTTAAGTTGAATTATGCAGATAGATGTCAAAATTTATTGTCACAAGACTCTTTCTTATCCTCTCTTCCTCAGTTTAGGTTCTCCTAACCCATTAGCAGAAATTCAGATTGGTTTGCAAATTCACACATGCATCATGTTTCTTTCCTGCAGCTTCCTGGTACAAATTTCGTACCCTAACATTATGCAAATTTATCTCTTATAGCTCTAGAAGCCAGAGGTTCAAAATCTGGGTCTGTCCCCTTGAAACCTTTGAGAGAGAGTCTGTTTTATGGCTCTCTCTTAGCTTCTCCTGCCTATAGGCAATTCCTGAGGCTCCCTGGTTTTCAGAGTTAGCTCTGCACTCTGTCTCTGTCTTCCTTCCCTTTTGTCCCTCTGTCTGATGCACTTCTTATAAGGAGGACATTTGTCATTGGATCAAGGGTCTACCCTACATTCAGCATGACTTCATCTGGAGATCCTTGATTAATATGCAAAGACCTTTTTTCCCAAAAAGATAACATTTACAAGCTCCAGGTGTTAGGGAATGAATATAACTTTTTGAGGAGACTGCCAATCCATCCACTCCATTCCCCAACATATGTTTATCACCTCTGGGGCCAGAGTTTTCATTAGGTTCTAGGATAAATGGAACAAAGTTCTTGTTTTCACAAAAGGGACAGAGCTTGACAGGAACAAACATTTCTCAAGAAATTTCCATGAAAGATGACAGTGACACAAATGGGGGCCCTTACGAGAACTGAACATTTGGCTTCCTGTAATGTGTGATCCTTTATGCAGAGAAAAATAATGAATTACACACAACCTTAGCTTTACAAAGCTCTCATGTGCATATCAGCTCTGGGATCCGTGTGAATGGTCACTAAAGTTGGCCTTGATTAACCTGCCTCTCCTGTACCTATGTGTGGTACTTTCCTTCAAGAGGTAGAGATTATCTTCCCTGGGAAGCTGAGCTACATTACACCTATGACTGCTTTGAACAATAGAATGAGCAGGAAATGATGCCCTGGCAGTTCTGAGGCCAGGCATTAAGAAGATGTGACAGCTCCTACATTTCCTTTCTTGCAGCATTCCCTTTGGTATCCTTGAGCCACCATGCAAGAGATCTGGCTAGCCTTTTGGGGTAGCCACTTGGACAGGTGTTGGTCTAACACTATAGACAACATCCCAGTTAAGCTTCCAGGTGATACCAACCTCAGCTCCCATCTTCAATAACACAAAAGACTCCAAAAAGGCTAGCAGCAGAAGAAGCATTTAGGTAAGCCGATTCAACCTATAGAACAATGAGATATAATAAAATGGCTGTTTTAAGCCATCAAGTTTTGGGTTTGAATAGGCTATGAACTTTGTTACCCTAGTACATACACTGGTAAGGTGGAATTGTGTTTGGCAGTATTGTTCTAACAGCAACAACAAGATTGTGCCAGTGCTTTGTACTAAATGCCAGCAGGACCAGAAAACCATGGAGCAGCATGGTGAGAAGAGAATTTAAAGGTTACCCCTCACCACAAGTGAAGACTTTCATGGCTGCTGAAATTAGAACCAGTTGCAGGATAGCATATCTAGAAGTCTGAGAATTCCTGTCAGGCTGGGGTAAGGGGCAGGATACAATTCTAGACAGCATAACTCATGGATCTGTACCGGAAATCAGAATACCCAAATAGAGGCTAAAAATATTTAAGCTTTCTTTGCTGCATCCAGCTGCTACCAGGGCATTTGGCTCACAGCCTGGGGTTTATTTTTTTCCCTCTTGCTTTTATGTTTTTCCTTTCTTCAATGTTAGATTGAAGTGCAAGCCTTATGTATTCCTTTAAGTCAAAGTAGACTTACTCTTTTCTCGGTGGAGTCCTGAGGTTTCAAGGAAGTTACAGGGCATATTTAGCCAGGAGGTGCTGAAACTGTGTTCTTGCATGCAGAGAACATAACTATTAAGTGATGCAGAACTGTAGTTTTATAAAGACTTTCTCCTGCGTAATGAAACTTGAGGCTGATGGCTTCACTTGAGCTCACAGAAGAAGAAAGCAAGATTTAGAGACTCTGACTGCCAAAGGCCATGTGTGTCAGAAACGAAGTCGGGATTTGAACCTATTATTGAATCCCACAGTGGGAGCTGTACATAAAATGTTGCTCTTGGCTCCGCATTATGATCCTCATTATGACTGAGATAGGTAGAGGAGGAGGTAGACCTAGGGTCCTTCTACAGAGGAGGCAGCTCATAGTCACGCTGAAGTCACAGTAAGCTTGATGGTGTGAGGGCAGTGAGGCAGAGGGACTAGCAAAATAGAGTCAGGAAGGCTTATGATTGATTTGGGCCTGCTTGAGGTGGGCATTTCTAGTATTCCCCAAGTGTGGCTTCTTCCAATAATACTCTTGTAAACCAATGAAGGAAATGAAAGTCAATTTCCCTCTTTTCTTTGCTCATCCTCTCCCTCCTCCTCATAACCATATGTGTTTATGAGTGTGTATTTTTTTTTTTTTGAGACAGGGTCTCACTCTAGCTCAGGCTGGCCTTGAACTCGAGGCAATCCTCCTGCCTCTGCCTCCCGAGGGCTGGGATTACAGGCATGAGCCACCACGCCCGGCTTGTGTGTGTATTCTTATTCAGATAGATAAGTAGGTAGATAGGTAGGTAGATGGATATGCAGGTAGGTAGGTAGATAGACAGACATACAGACAGGCGGACAGGCAGACAGATGGATTCCTCTCTTACATGTGGTTTCTCCAGGTCTACTGTATGGAGCCAGTGCACTTGATTCCTCAATGGCTGTAAATGTCAGCTGCTAAGAGTTCAGAGTAGCCTCTTCCCTCAGGGAAAGTTATCCCTTCTGCCCTACAAGTCTCCAAGTACCTGATAATAGGGTGATACATGCTGGTGCTCTTTGCTCAATGAGGGGACAGGACGCTTCTGAGATGCAGATTATGGGGGTTGCTCCAGTCAGTCCGTCCATTCATTCTCCTCCCATGGGCGGGACCAAGGCTGGATTTTGGCCAGATCATGCCCTAGTTTAGCACTTTCCCCTTCCCTGTCCTGCTTTACCTCTCATACAGGTTTGTCTCAAGAACATTCCCTCAGTCGATCATGTACCCTTGAACCCCTCCTGCATTCTGCTCATAGACAACATGACTTTTGTGCATGTACACACACACATTAACATGCATACACAGTCATACACAAGTACACACATGCACACATGTGTGTATGCATGTACATGTAAGTATACACACACATATATATAGATGACTATTTTGCAGATAATGAAATCAAAACCTCTGAAAGTAAAAAAGACTTGGTCAAGTTCACATGATGAGTTGATATCAAATTTAGAAACCTTTTATTCTGAAGTCAGATCTTGCCATTTTCCCAAACTCGAATGGCTATAGTATAACAACATCCACAGTTTTATTAGTTCACAAGTTGAATATATATAGGGGCAACTGTAGTTTTCTTTTTGGAACCCTGCAAGTCCTGTTGTACACAACCTCATTCTGTTTGATTTCAGTGAGAAAGGTGAGCATAGGTAACTTATCTAGGGACACATCAGAGCTTTAAATAAACGTTGCTCATAAAGTGAGAAATGTTCCCACAGAGAGATGCTATCTCTGGTGTCAAATATCTCTCAACCTGCAATGCATGCAAATTGTGGAATGGGTCTGTTGGAAACTTTGCACATTCATAAATATGGATAGGCTGACAAAGAATTTTAATTTTGAGATGTCTGACTGATTATTTCTGACACATAAACACCTTTTAATTCTCCCCTTAGGCCAAAGATCAAACTTTGGCTGTCGCCTTGTAGGTAAGGCATCTGACTGGTAGATGTAATCCAGATTCGTACACATTTCTGTGCAGGGAAGCTCACTGTTCAGTTCAGCTGTCTCGGGAATGGGGAAGCTGGCCCTTGCCTGGGACCTCCTTATTTATTTTGCTGTGGAACACTCAGCCAAACCCTGGAGACATGTATATATGGATGTGCTCAGGAACCCCTTCCTGGGGTGAAGTAGTAAGGCTCTCCTGAGTAACACTTTGGTTTTCCTGTGCAAGACTCCTGCAGCTTCTCACTGCACTTAGAACAAAATCCAGCCTAGAACTACAGCCTGCATGGCCCACCACATCCTCCCGTCCCTTCCTCAGGTACCTGGCAGGTTCCTGCCCATCATTCCATCATTCTGACTGATCTTTCAGTTGTCTGCCACTCAGAAGCTCCTGTCCTGGGGGCTTTGCTCATGCTGTTCCATCTTCTTGGGGTGTCCTTCTCCAGACCTGCTCTTCTTCGCAAATGAAACTCATCTTCCCATTGAGGCCATTCCTGAATTCATGGATCACCAGTGTTAGTCAATGTCACAGTGCTCTTGTTGGCATAATTTTTAGGAGTTTTATCATAAAATGCCAATACTGATCTGCTTCTTTAATTGTTACTATGAAAGTAGGGGCCATGTCTGCCTTGTCTTCTCCTGTCCTGCTTATTTTGGGGTTATTGAAACATTTAAAAATATATCTACTTATTTTGACTATATATCTTTGCAATTTTTACATAGTTGCTTCAATGTATAATATAAATACTAAGCTTTTCACTACCTACTGAAAATCAATGTTTTACCATTTCCAGTAAGCATTTTCCCATTCCCAGCAGGAGAATATCGGTACACCCTCTGCCTATTTATAATTGTCTCAAATCTACATATATTGAAAACGCCATTACACAATATTTTAATCTTTGCCTTCAACTTTCAAATGTATGTTAAGAAACTTGGAGAAGAACAATCTGTTGTATTCAGTCCTATCTTTTTTCTTTCTTCATTCCCAATGTTCCAAATTTCTATCTGGTATAATCTCCCTTCTTCCAGTAGAAATTCCCTTAGGAGTTCTGTTAGGACAGGTCTTTTTTTCTTCTTTTCTCATTCATTCATTCATTCATTCACTCACTCATTCAGACAAAGTCTCACTACGTAGCTCAGGTTGGCTTCAAACATGTGATTCTCCTAGGAGTCTGAGCCTCTCAAGTGCTGAGATTACACATGTGCACCATCAACCTTAGCTGAGCTAGGCCTTTTGCAAATGACTTTTCTTAGTTTTTCTTCATCTGAGCATGTCTTATTTTACCTTTATTCCTGAAGGGTATGTTTTGCTAATTGTAGAATTTGTGTGGACAGCTCTTTTATTTCAACACTTAAAAAAAAAATTTGTACCACTTCTCTGTAGTCCCATGGTTTCTAAAAAAGAAATCTGCAGTCACTAATTATTTTTCCTCTATAGAGTGAGTTTACTCTTTGCCTTGGGTTTTAAACTGTTCAAATATGATGTGTCTTGGTGAGAATTTATTATGGTTCGTGGTGGTTGTGATATACTCAGCTTCTGGAATCTGTAGATTTGATTTGTGTTTTCCAGCAAATTTGGGAGAGTTTCAACTTTCAGTCTTCAAATACTTTTTAGCATTGCATTCTTTCTACTCTTCTTAGTGTCCCAATCATAAGAATGTTGAAAACTTTGTCACTGTCGCATAGGTCCTTGAGATTATCTTAAATATTTAAAAAAGTTTTTCATTCTTTCCTTTCAGGTTGAAGGATTATGGCTGGTTTATGTTCAAGTTCAATAATTCTCCCACCGTCTTCATTCTATCAAGTCATCCAGTGAATTCTTACTCAGGTCAGTTCCCTGTTTTAAAATTTTTACTAGATGTTTTCTATTTCATTTTCAGATACTTGCTCAAATATATATTTTTTACTGGCTTTAATAAAGCCTTTGTTAGATAATACCTTCAATGTATTATCTCAGTGTTGGCGTCTGTTGATTATCTCTTCCCACATGAGTTTAGATTTTCCTGATTTTTCATAGGCTGAGTAATTTCAAATAGTATCCAAAAACACATTTAATGTTACATGAAGAGACTCTGAGACCTTTTCTAAGATCTCATGCAGAATGTTAATGTTTTCTTTTTAGCAGTTAGTTGAGCTGTTTTAGGGAAGGCCCCAGGCTCTGCCAAATTTTTATGGGCTCTTATTCTAACAATGGTTTGGAGTTCGAAGCCTTTTGGGGTGCTATTTGAGGGACCCTGCATGTGCTCCCCTGGTGGCCAGTGTGGACCCTGGAAGGTGGTTTCGTTCCTTCCTCAGAGAGACTGGTATCTGAGCAGGGTCAGATCTGTGCATGAGCCGGGAAGGGAGTGAGCCCACATGTTCATAAACACATTTTTGGGCTTGTTTGCTTGAGTTCCTCTCTTTGTCATCTCTTTAGTATTTTATGGCTACAATCATCTGATTAGACTCTGTTGTACCCAGGGTGGGGAGGAGGAGAGACATACAACTGGAGGTTTGCTCCAACTTCCTGGGGCTGCAGATCCAGCTAACAGAGAAAAACATATCTTTTCTGTAGAGTTTTGACTCCCGTGGGCTCCTGTTAGTAGCCTTGTCTACCACCCTGAAAAACTAGACCACATAAAACAAAATCTAAAAATCACAATGATAAAAGGGACAGGAGGAAACTGTAGGACATGATGGATAGGTTTATTGCTTTGATGATAGATGTTTACTCCAAAAACATCAAGATGTTTATGTTAACTATGTACAGTTTTTTATATGTCATTGAAAACAAGAAAACAGAGCAAAGAAAGAGAAAAAATACCCCCAGAGATTTCCATCGTCTCTTCTGAAGTCAAGAGCTAGCTTTCCAGGTCCTGGTGGTTTCTCTGGAAGTTTCCTCTGACTGTCCTGTTGCCCATTCCTGGGTCTGGGTTGTGAAGTCTGGGCCTGGATATACGGGAGGGAAGCACCTCATACTCTGGGTTTCTCTCTCATCTGTGTGGCACTATTTAGTTCCCGGAGTCCCCAGACAGCTGCTCCCTGTGCTGTGTTCCTACTTTATTGCTATACTCAGTGCGGGAAGCAAGGGGGACTGCGTTTCCTGTTACCTGGAACCAGAAATCCTTTGAGATTAATTTAGGCAACACGGTTGACCTTCTGGTTTTATTGCTTATTCAAAACCCAAATAGCTGCCTAATTTGCTCATGGAAAGCAGGAAGAAATGAAGTCTGCTCAGAAGACATCTGGGCTTGGATGCTGGGAGTCCAGAGCTCTAATCCTAGTGTGCTATTGTCACGTTATGTGAGGCCAGTCAGCATGTCCGAGTCACTGTATAAAGTGTGACCACTGTCATGTCACTTGCCTGGCTTCTCCCCGACCCAGGCTCATTTTGATGACCTGATAAGATAGTGGATGTGACAGTACTTTGAGGTGTATAAACAGGTATCCAGAGAGAGTAAATTTTGCCCCTGTTACCTGTGGGCAGTAGTTAAGAGAAATGTTCTTGGGGTAGGGCAGTAATTGTATCCCTGAGGGGATGAGGGACTAAGCAGCCCCCTGTGTTATGGGGCTGCTTCTCTAGGGCTCCGCCATCCACCTGGATAAAATGTGTGCCTCGCTCACCACCCCTTGTTCCTGCCTGAACTTCTCTTCTCTTCAGGTTTCTGGACTTTTATAAGAAGCTTTGTGGGTATTAAAAACTAACCAATTAAAAATCAGGAACTGTGACTCATGATTCTGTTGCTAATCAGCTCTTCACTTTCCCTCAGAGTTCTAGCTTCCACATCTTTAAAATAAACAGAATCAGAAGGCAACAATGGTCATCAAACTTGAGGATTGAACACTACCTTAGGTAGAAATGGATGCGTGGGTGGAATGAATAGGAGGGATAAGAAGACAGATTTTCACACCTCTCTTCTGGAGCATTTCTGCTATAATGAGTTTCCACACTGATTTTTGCTTAATAAAATGTCCTATAGCTAAAGTAAATGTTGGAACCACTCACTCAGATAGGTCTTGCCATGTAACTCCCTTAGGATCTCATGGTTTTTCAAGACATCCATTGTTCTCCCACCTTCCTGGTATTCCTTTCCCTTTACCACCAACTCTTTTACCTCCTATCCCTGTTGTGGGCATCCCTTAAGCTTTGATCTCAGAACTGCAGTCTTCATTCAGAGCATCTTTCCCTCGTTGAACTCATCCACGGTTGCAGCTTTAACCATCACAGCCTAGTGGTTGACTCCAAATTTCAGATGTCTTTACTCAAGTTTCGGTCCAATATTTTCAACCCTCAGCTAGGTCATTCCACCTGGGGACATAGCAATATGTTCAAGTTGCTATATTTTCCTAAAGGTTTCTGCATCTCTTAGCATCACCACAGGCTGCCCACCAAATCTTCAGCATAGAGGCCGTTGTAGGACATTTAACATCTAAATCTTAACAGTAACATCACTGTTAAAGAATTTATAGTCCATGAAAAGAAAAACAGCTAATATAAGAAAAACTAGATGACTAAGTAACATGCAGCATATCCATGCCAAAAATATGGTGTTATTACATTCTAATTAAAATTGCTAAATCACATGGAATTAATAATACAGTCAGATTTTTGCTAAATAATGCAAATCTTTGAATCTTTGCCATCTTCATAGGATGTGGTTTTTGATGGTGCTAATCCAAAAAATTATTTTAAAGAAATCTAGATGACAATAATTACTTTTTTTGCAAAAAGCATACCACTTATTCTTCCCCACTCATATGTGACATCAGTCAGGAAAATAGTAAGTTGAAATCATGACCCCCCTCAGCACTCTGAAGCTTTGATTATACAGTAATACTGGCTATTTCTTTCATTGCTCTGCTATTTCTGTAATAGCCATCATTGATGAAGAGTATTCTTTACTTCAGAAGTTCGTCCCCATCTTTGACATATATTCTTTTTTCCCTTAAGGATTTCAGTTATAAAATAGCAGCAACCAAATAAAATTGATAATAATAATTTTTTTATTTTAATGCACTATAAGTAGATATTAATGAAGAAAATATAGAAAGCATTCTTCTTACTTCCATGAAAAAACAGGACAAAATTTCATAACAAAATAATTACAGAATAATGATAGGTAATATACTGTGTGTCGTGATCTAAAAGGATGGCCAAAATGTTACTCAGAACACACATCTTGTAAGACATATGCTAATTTGCTTCTTTTTGTTCATTGAAAAGAATAACTTTTTATTAAATGCTAGTTCCTGGTAGCTTCCATCAAACACACAAGCAGTGTCACAAAAACATTTCAATTTTTGCATAGGATGGATAATGATAATTCTTTCCCCAACCTATGGCTCCACACCTAGGCTTTTAGAGGTGTACCACCCTCTGGACTTTGGAAGACATGGCAGAAGGGAGCATTTCATTTTTATTGCCGGCTGAAGTTTCTAATGGACATTAAAGATTAATGATGCAAGTATCTAAAAGTCAACAAGAAGAAAAGGCTGGGCCTCTTACACATTTGTAAACAGTGTAAAGCTTTGTACCGATCAGATGGCTGCAGACAGGAAAGCTAACACGGACACAATAACAACCAAGGGTCAACCTTTCAGGGTGCGTCTGGTGCTGAGCTTGTAACAGCAATGAATAACGACCTTGTGCCAGGAGGTCACTGGGGAGTACCTGGGTCTTTCATGTGGTTGGGACAGCTGTGGGCAATCTGTGGCTATGGATTACCCTACAGAGAGAAGTGGCTGTGTGTGAAGGCACCATGGTACACTTGGGAGGGCTCTGAAAATAATGGGTATCAAGAAACAAAATGCCTGCCTCGCAAGTGCAAGGTCCCAAGTTCGATCCCTTGTACAAACAAACAAACAGAACCAACTTACAACCCAGATGAGGTCTTGTGGGATTTGCAGCTCAAGGGAAATCAGTCCCTTGCCTTTTGATGTCTCCCTAAGATGAGATTATTTTGTCTCCAATTGGGTTTTTACATGAGGTAATTAGGTTTCTCTGTATGTCACTCCTGTCATCCTTACACGTGGTAGGAGACGGATTCTATACTGGCTGCCTTGTCCTCTTACAAAAGCCCAAGAAGCTGGGTAATTTGTCCAAGGCAGCAGAGCTGGGCAGTAGCTGACCTGGGACTTGAACTCAGGTCTGTCTGATTCCAAAGCTCAGGTGGTTGGTAGAAAGTGAGCCATAGCTTTTAGTGAATGTGGAACTTCTTGTTTTCTTATATTGAGCTATTGCTTTTTTTTTTTTTAATTAGAGAAGACTGTGGGGAAAAAAAGGAGACTATCTCCTCTGACATCCAAAAAGGGCTAGCTATCAGCCTGTTTCCTTTCCTCTTTGACCTAAAGTCTCCAGGCAGTGCAGGAATCCATGGAATGGGTGCCCTTCCTGTGTTTGAGAAGGAAATGCCTGCTGCACTTTGCCAACAGTGTCAGTGACTGCAGAAACCCTCGATTTATTACCTCCCAGGAGTCCTGTGTTTGTTTCCTTTGAGAATTTTTCCCCATCAATATTAATTCCTTGGTGTTATACGCACTTTGGGTTGGTCCCAGGGACTTCACATATGTGGCCTCGCTTCACCCTGAAATTTTTATTGGAAGCCTTCTACATGTTAGGGGCTGTGTTAGATATGGGGGTGTTAAAAGATACAGAGCATGCTCTCTCCCTCACCAGTTCAGTCTGACCTCTAACCTGCTGTTAGGAAGTAGGTCAGGTACTGTCCTCATTTTGTACCTCCATCCCTCTTGCTTCTCAACTGTTATTGCAATTGTCATTAACATATTATATTTGGCCCCTGGAGAACAATGCGATTTGATAAAAAACATAGTTTTTCTTCTCTGTATAGT